AATGTGGGCTATTATGCGTGCGCGTACATGGGCGTGAGCAACATAAATAAGAGAGAAGGTTTTTGTTGGGCGCGCCTCCACGCCGCCACCTGGCACGTGAGGCTGGCAGCCTTACGGGGGGTCCAGGGACAGACAGGGTTCTGATGTGCACGCTTGGTCAGTGGAGCCCCAGGGGACAGGAGGACTTGTCCTTTCTGAATCTCAGTGAGGGCTGCCCTGCCCGGCTGTGACCACCCTCCGCCCGCTCCTCTGTGGCTGTGGCCGCCGCACTACATGCTCTGGGTGGTAGCCATTCACTTCGTCCTTACAGTGACCCAGAGGGATGGGGGAAGTTACCTCCTTCGTTCTACGAAACGGCTCTTCTCCTTTCATAGACTTGGGGAAACTGGGAGGTCAAGGTTCTTGCCCAAGGCCACATAGCTGGTGAGTGACAGATGAGGACTCTGGACCAAGGAAGCTGGTCCTTCCTCTGCACTCACGCTGCCCTACCCCGCCCTGGATGCCCAGCCTGCATTTGGCCCTCGGGTGGTGCATTTGGCTGCACATTTCTTGCCCAAGGGCCTTCTGGGAAGCATGCCCTCTGCAGTGGTCCCAGCCAGCGAGAGTTGGCCTGGTAACTTGGATGCTGCCAGGGTGAACATCTCCGTGCTGTGAACGCTGCGGCTGAGGGGGAGGCATTGACCCCGCGATGGCCTGTTTCAGGAGAGTGTCGCGCCGCTGTTTGAGGTTCACATGGAGCTAGAGGAGGACGGGCTGGTCTTCAGTCCGTCCCTGGAGGTCAGCGGGGACTATGGCTTCCTGGAGCTGATTGGGAGCCTGGTCACTGACATCTACAACGTGGCCAAGCTCATCCCCCGGCTGGCCAAGGGCAGGATGAGCTACAAGGTCAGTCTATCTGTCCCTACCAGCGAGTGCTCCCCTGGGTCAGGACTGCCTTCCTGACTTGGCACATTTTTCATGATGATGGTTCTGAAGCTTCTGTTATCTCAGGAGCTGGTGGGTAGATGGGGGGGTAGTGGGGTGGATGGGTAGATGGATGAACGGTAGGTGAATGACTTCTCCATCGGCCTGGCTTTCATTCCCCGGCCACCTCCCCACCCCCAACACTCTGCCAAGAGTGTGCCCCTCCTCCACTTCCTGTTATTTCACTCTCTCCCTTAATTTAAGCCCTGTGATTCTCTGAGCCCTCAGGCCCTTTGACAAACGTGCTTTCCACTGGCTCCCACATCTGTTTGCTCCCAATGCGTTAAATACCCACCTGCTACATAAAACGCAGTCAGGTCAGATCGTGGGGATGTGCAGGTGTAAGAAGCTCAGCCCCAGTGAAGGGCGGTCCCAGGAGGTGTGTGTGTGAGAGCACAGTCTGTGTGACAGTCAAACAAAAACGACCACCAGATGGGGGAGTCCTTCAGTGGACTCCGGCCCACCCAGGCAAAGGCATCTGGACGAGGCACACCAGAGCGCAGGACGGCTGGACACCCGTGATGTGTTACCAGTGTTTGTCTCGTACAGCAGTGTTTGGAATACGATCCCATTCATACAAACAAACGAAAGCCTGTCTGCCCGTGGACACACTCCGAACCGTTGAGAGTGCTTACTTCTGGGAACAGGATGGGGGTTAAGGATGGAGGGGGCCAGGGGCTGCAAAGGGGCTTTTTACTTCATATGTGTTTACGTTGTTTGAACTTCTCGATGATGGGCGTGTATTATTTGTAATAACAAGTATTGACAGCAAGATGCTCTGTGCTGTTAGGGAGAGGGGCGTGTGTGTGTGTGTGTGTAGTGAGGTGAGGACCAAGAGGAGACACCTGGCAGGGTCACGGTGGGCTTCCTGGAGGTGCTGACGTGCGTTCTGCGTCCTGAAAGGTGAGAGGGGATTCCCAGGCAGAGAGGATGGCTTGAAGATTCCCGAGCTGCAAAACGGTGGTGTCCCCGGCCCAAGCACATGCAGCAAAATGTTGCAGAGATCAGAACAGAGTTTACCACCAGCTGTCAGCTCAGGTAGAGACGTGGGACCCAACTCAGGCCGGTGAGAGCCAAACGCCCACATGAGCTCCAGAATCTGACAGGATGCCCGTCTGGGGCTCCTGCTTCCTCCCCGGGGCACTGAAGGGACAGGACAGGACAAATGAGGACAAGGGTCCTGGTGGTCTGGCCATGCCCCGGGCTGTGCAGGGCCCTGTCCCGCTCTCATCTGTACCCGTGAGATTTGAATTTATGGAGGTGACTGCGTGACAATGTGGAGAGATCAGAGCCATTGACAGAAAACTTGAATGCCACTCACGTTGCCCCCAGAAACGAGAGGCGCGGCAGGCCACGCGGGGCCGCAGGGGGCAGCGGGCCTGGGCAGGAGCAGGAGCAGGTGGAGGGAAGCCCGGCCGGGGGCTTTGCTGGGGTTTCTGCAGGAAGGCAGGACAGGGAGGGGGAGCAGCTCGGGTCTGGCCGGTTTGTATAATGTTGGGGGGCTCTGGGCTCTAGGGGTTGTCTCCAGTTACCTGGTACCTGGCCTGGGATGGTCACGGCAGGGGGAGGGTTGGCTTGGAGCATGAGGGTTAGTTCGATAAAGGAGGTGGGTGGGGAGCTGGCTGGTTTGTACATGCGAAGTGTGCTGGTTTCCCAGCTCTTTCCCCTCTTAGAACTGGCCGGCGCTGTGAGGGGCAGTCTCTCCCCAGCTAGCAAGACTTTTTAAGATGTCAAAGCTTCTTAAGAGACAGAACATTTAAAAACATGATTAAGATGCATGCCGACCTTGAGATTCTCCAGCTGCATGAGCCCAGTAGCTGTCTTTTTGCTGACACCAATTTGGGTTGGGTTTTCTGTCACTTGAAACTCAGAAGACCCTGCCTAGCCCAGATCCCCCTCAGTGCTCCTGCTCTGGCCGTCCATGTGGTCCTCATTCAGGTCCTCAAACGCCTGCCTCCCCCAGCGCAGGGCCTTTGCATGTGCTACGCTTCTCCTCTTGCTCTTTACCTACGTCCGAGAGCTCCCAGACCAGCTCCTCAGGGAGCCTTCCTGAGACCTCCTCCCCATGACCCCCGAAAGCAAGGGGCGGAGTCGTGATGGCTCATTTCTGTGACTTTTTTTGATGAACGTCTGACTCCTCTCCTGGACTGTCCCCACCATATGAGCCCTGTCCCCATCCCCAGTGCCCCCTCCCCAGCGTGCACACGGCAGGTGCTGAGTAACTCCTGAATGAGTGAAGGGACGTGTGAGTCTTCCAGGTGCCTGCTGGGCGAAAGGCAGGGGCAGTGTGTCTTCTCAGGAGAACACTGCCCTTGGACAACTCCCCCCACGTCCCATCTTGAGAGGTCAACGACGCTTGCACCGACCGAGAGCCCCTCCCTTGGGCTGGGAGACCAGATTCAAGCCGCGATCGCGAGCAAAGTGCTCACAGGTCTGCTCCCCTCCCGCCCCCTCCCAGACCGACCTGGAAGACATGACGGACCTCATAGAGATGCGAGAGGAGATATCCAGCCTGGTGATCACCGCCATGAAGGAGGCCGAGGAGTACCAGGACTCCTTCGAACGCTACTCCTACCTCTGGATGGACGACCCCCAGGAGTTCATGAAGAACTTCCTCACCTACGGGCGTGCCATCAGCCCAGAGGACTTGGACACCCGGGCCGAGGAGACCCTCCCGAAGACGCCGCCCACCCTCACGCAGTTCCAGCAGCAGGTGTGTGTGAACCTGGCCCCAGTGGCTTCCTCACCGCCAGGATTCCCCCCCCCCCCCGTGGAGGGTCCCTGCGCTTGATTTAAAACTTGAACTTTCTTTTTAATTGAAATACGGTTGATTTACAATATTGCATTAGTTTCTGGTGTACAGCAGAGTGATTCACTTATACTTCGTTACTTCTCATATTTTTCATTATAGGTTGTGACAAGCTAGTGAATATAGCTCGCTGTGCTCCACAGCAGGACCTTGTTCATCTGTTTTATATATAGGAGATTCTATCTGCTAATCCCAAGCTCCTCTAATTTATCCCACCCCCGTCCCCTTTCCCACGTGGTAACCATAAATTTTCTATGCCTGTGAGTCTTTTTCTGTTTTGTAAATAAGTTCATTTGTATCATGTTGTAGATTCCACATCTAAGTGGTACCCTATGGTATTTGCCTTTCTCTGTCTGACTTACTTCACTTAGTATAATCATCTCTAGGTCCACCCATGTTGCTGCCAGTGGCATTTCATTCTGGGTAAACTTTTTTAAAATGCAAGTTTTAGTATCATTTCACATACAGAGAGACCAGCAGATCAGGAGACAACTGTTGTTGAAAAGAGAGTTTGTGACTCACAGTTCCCAAGAGGAGGAGGGCATGCCGTGTCAGGCAGGGCCACTTGGGGAGGCACCGGCGTCCCTCAGGAGGCAGAGGGGCTGCGGGGGCGTCGTGGCTGACAGCTGTGCCGTGGTCTTCATGGGGACGAGCGGGCAAGGTGGAGCAAGCGGGCTTCGGATGGGCCGGAGTGCGTCAGCTCAGTGGACTCGGGTGTGCGCGGGCTGTCCCGAGCTGTCAGGCACCTGGCCCTGGGGTTACTAGGGCAGGTGGGCAGTGGCCTGGAGTGTGACAGCCCCACGGAGAAGGGGGTGGGCTCTGGTTGGTGGTTTGCATATGAGCGGTGTGGTCCTGGAGGGTTGTCTGCCATCTCTAGGAACTAGCCAGACCTAGGATGGGCAGTCCCTCCAGGGTCAGTGAGGCCCCAGATGCCAGAGCATCTTTAGAGAACGTGAGAAAACATAGCTCGGTTATGAACCTCCACTTTTTTCCCCAAAGCACGATGAAGGTGACCCACCCATAGGGGAGATGCGCGGGGCTGGGGGTACATTTTGCCCCACAGCGGGGGGGACGGCTGGCTGGCGGAGCTTCAGAGCCCTGAGGATGCGCAGCAGTGGGAAGAGGGCTGAGTTGAGGGAGGCCTCGAGGGCGCCGGGGACCCCATCACCTCTTAAACCTTCCATCCTGCTCTCCTTCCGAAGCCCTGCGGGCTTGCTGGGCTGTGTCCCTTTCTGACAGGCTGTCCGGTGTCCGGGGTGGACTGCTGGGCCCCCGGGACCCCTGGGGTGTTGGGAGAAGGCCACCAGCAGTAAGCGCCTCCCAAGTGCCCACGAGCTGCGCCGGCCCCGCCCCACCCCCGGCCACAGCAGCCCAACAAGCGGGGGGGCCGTGTCTTCCAGATCGACTCCTACGAGAAGCTGTACGAGGCGGTGTCCAGGTGCGGGAACACCAAGGTGTTCAGCGGCTGGCTGCAGTGTGACTGCCGCCCCTTCAAGCAGGCGCTCCTCAACACCATCAAGCGCTGGAGCTTCATGTTCAAGCGCCACCTGAGCAACCACGTCGTCAACAGGTGGGTGCAGTGACCCGCCCCCCCTGCCCCGGCCGGACACAGACCTGCCCCCGGAGAGCCCTGCGCCGGGGCACCTGGAAGTGGCCTCCCACGAAGTCTGGTCGGTCGGGCACCTCCCCGCACCCCGACTACGCTGGGGGGCGGAGGTCAGGCTCACAGGCCGGCAGAAAGGTGTCCCCTGGCTGGGAGTGAAGGCCCTCTTCCCCTATCTGTGGCTTCTTTACTGAGCACTTACTGTGCCCTGCGTTGGGCAGGGAAGCCTGGTGTGAAATGAGCGGACAGGGACCTGTGCAGGTACAGGTGGTGCGGGGCCGGGAGGAGTGCGGAGCCAGGAGAGCTGCAATCCAGCTCCTCCATCCGGGGGCCCGGCTGAGGCCTCTCTGGGCCTCGCCCATCAGCTTAGCTGGTGAGGCGCGGGGTGTGTGCAGGCAGGGAAGAGGAGGGCAGGCCTGTCACCGGCCACCTCTCACCCCTCAGCCTTGCTGACCTGGAAGCCTTCATGAAAGTTGCCAGGGCGGGCCTGACGAAGCCCGTCAAGGAGGGGGACTATGACGGCCTCGTGGAGGTGATGGGGCATCTGATGAAGGTCAAGGAGAGGCAGACAGCCACCGACAACATGTTCGAGCCCCTGAAGCAGACCATCGAACTGCTCAAGTCCTACGGGGAGGAGATGCCCGAGGAGGTGCACATGAAGCTGCAGGTAGACGGGCTGGGGCTGCATCATCGCGGGAGCGGGAGCCGCAGGTGCAGCCGGAGGAGGGTGGCCGTTGTGACACAAGGCCTGCGGGGCTAGGCCTCCTTCTAGACAGTGGTAGGGAGTGGGAGAAGGCTGCCCGGAGAGGAGGGGACAGGGAGGTGGCCTGCAATTCTTCGACTTGATTGGTGTTTCATTGGATTAAAAATGCCTTCACATCCCACGTCTCCCCGAGGGCAGCGGGAGCCTGGGCGTGAAGGATGGTGGACAGAATGGGGCCAGCAGCCCGGAAGGACAGTGGGGCAGCTGCTTTCAGAATCCCCCAACCCAGCAGGCCGCCGGCCAGCTGCAGTCCCCACGTGGGACAGACAGGCCACAGCAAGGCGCTTGAAGGGGACTTGAAGACGCCCAGTACTTTACAGCTAATTTAGAGAATGCTGGTGTCAGAGCAGCTGTGTGTGCAGCTGGGCTGGGAGCGGGACGGAGCGGGGGGGACAGAGAAGATGGGTCCTGAAGCCGCGGCCCAGACACCCCCCTGGAGTTTCAGTCTCCTCCCAGATCTGGCTGCCTCCACCCACTCTCCCCTTCTCTGCCAGCACTGGTACTGTGTCCAGTCGCATTGGCCTCACTCCCCCTGCAGGGAAGTGCTGACTCCAGCCAGTGGCCAAGACGCCACAGCAGAGGGCATGACAGGAGTGTGTGTCAGTGGCTTTGGTGACACCAGGCTGCCCAGGCCCTGCTTTGGAGCGTGTTATGTTTGGCCCCTGCCACCCTGCCCAGGGCTCAGCTAAGGACTAGGGTTTTTTTTTAATGGAGGTGCTGGGGAGTGAAGCCAGGACCTCACGCATGCTGAGCACGTGCTCTACCCCTGAGCTGTGCCCTCCCCTCGGGACTGGGATTTGAAGTGTGTGTGGCCAGGCCCCCGGGGTTCTGGGCCGTGGACAGGGAAGGGGTTCTGATAAAAATTTTGGTAAGCATTTGAGGTGTGCCGCTGCTGACAGAGACTTAGTGAATCACAGAAGAAAGTACAATGTCCATTTGTGGTCTGGAAATTTAAAAAAAATACGATTATTAGTACAACATTTGCCCGAGTGTGGAGAACTTGGAAAATCCAAAAATTCATCTGATTGTTCAAGCCACTCTTGAAATGACAAAATCATAGAACTGGAGCACAGGTGGGTGGCTGTCCAGGTAGGGTGTGGTGAGTGCAGATACAAAGGGCAGGCAGTTCCTTCTGATGATGGACCACGGTTACAAGAATCTATACGTAAGATAAAATTACCTAGGACTCCACACACCCAAGACGCATGCACACACACGTATGCATGGATCCAGCTTACAGCGCAGGGTGAAGACAGACAGGTTCTGCCCGATGTTAGCACCGACGCCGGTCGCCTGGCTTGGCTACTGAACCACGGCTGTATAAGATGCCGCCCCTGGAGGCGGCTGGGGGCGGGGAAGGCACACAGGACTCTGTGCTTTTTTTTTGCAACTCTCCGTTGAGTCTGTAACTATTTTACAATGGAGAGTTCAGAAAAGAACAGGAAAAGGAATGGTCCTCGGCCTTCACCTGTGCAGGAACTGCCGGAGCAGTGGACGAACACCAAGAAGCTGGCCATCCAGGTGAAGCAGAACGTGGCGCCCCTGCAGGCCAATGAGGTCAGCATCCTGAGGAGGAAGTGCCAGCAGTTCGAAGTAAGGCGGGGCTGGGGCGGGGCTGGGCGTGGGGCGGGGCTCTGGTGGGGCGGGGCTGGGACAAGGGCGGGGCTCTGGTGGGCGGGGCTGGGGCAAGGGCGGGGCTCTGGTGGGGCGGGGCTTGGGGACACATCCTCCCAGACCCACTGGGACGCTGACAGTCTCTGCCCCTGTCTCTCCCGCAGCTAAAGCAGCACGAGTTCAGAGAGAAGTTCAGACAAGAAGCCCCATTCAGCTTCAGTGACCCCGACCCCTACAAGTCCCTGAATAAGGTATTCTTGCCCAGAGATGAGAGGGCATAGTCACTGTGGGGACCCTGACGCCTTCTGATCTTTTCTCAAGCTGTCATCTTTGTGGGTCCAGAGACAGGCCCGGTGGGACCGGCCTCGGGGCTGTGCACGTGTGTGCATGCGTGTGTGTGTGTGTGTGAGTGTGCACGTACATGTCAACTAGGGCATCCCACGTGGTCTCCGTCCAGGCCCACAGCCCACCGCATCTGAATATCCTGTAAGCTCACAAGCCCACCTTGCCGCTCGGCCCCCTCCCTCTCCAAGGACCCCATCCTGTTCACAATCTGCGGTTGGCTGTCCCCCAGGGTTTGCACTCACCCTCCTCCCTGACCTGCTATGCTCAGCTGGCGGACAAGCCTCACCTGTGTCCGCTTGGTGCTCACTGCCCAAGTCCACACCCAGGACCCCCCTCTGCAAGTGTACTGACATGGTTCAGGCTGAATCTTTTTCCACCTCCTCTTTGCTGCTTTTCCCTCTAATTTTTCCCTAATTTTCAAGGCAATTCAGCATTACTTATATAAATTTTAATACAATAAAAATATATATATAGTGACAAAATTAGGGAAATTCTGGGAAGTCGGGAAATCTGGCACTGATACAACGTCCATTAAGAGTCAGTCCTCACACCTGCACTCAGAGATGAGCCGCCTTCCCGTAAGATGAGAAGCCGGGCAGGGAGGGCGCTACTCTCCGGGTGGGAAGTTTGCTGTCATCTTCTGTACTCGGGGTTGGAGGACAGTGTGTCGATGGCTCTAAGGTTTACTAGGACGTGGCGGGGTGGGAGGCTGGGAAGGCTCCACCGAGCGTGGGCAGCCTGTTCACCGGCTTCCTCTTCATTCCCCTGCAGCAACAAAAGAGCATCGTGGCCATGGAAGGCATCATGGAGGCGCTGTGCAAGTCCGGGAGCCTGTTTGAAGTCACCGTCCCAGACTACAAGCAGCTCAAGGCTTGTCACAAAGAGGTCCGCCTGCTGAAGGAGCTCTGGGACATGATCATCATGGTGAGAGAGGCGGCAAGGGGCCTCGGGGGACTGGGAGTGGGGCGGGTCAACGCCGAGGGTGCCCAGGGTCGGGGTGGGGCGCTCTGCAGGCACGGCTCCCAGCACCAAGAGGGGATGCTCCCGGGATCCTGTGGTGACAGCCACTTTGATGGGGGCACCCTTTCTTCTAGAACAAGGGGGTGGGAAGCATCACTCTTTGCGGTATCCAGGCTTTGTGGGTCGACGGTGCGCGCCTGTTAGCGTAGTCTCTCCCCTGGGCTCCTGTTTTCAAAGATATTTCAGTTCTTCTGGCTTATGCTCTTGAATGAACTTCAGAACCTCTGTCAATTCCTCCTCCCCTCCACAAGAAAGCTCTTCGGACAGTAAAGAGAACTCAGTCTCCTCGGTGAGCTCGTCTGGGGAGAATCGCCCTGTGGGCAGTATTCAGTGTCCCCGCCCAGAGCAGGCTCTGCCTCTTCCTGGATTTTATTTTTCATTACATCATAGTAAACTATTGTAAATGTCTTCATTCTGACCATGCGAGTCTACCTATTTCTCACCTGGTCGGGGGGAGTCTTTGGAGCCACAGGCTGCATCCCAGCCACCCCTGGAGAGAGAGAACCAGTCGAAGCCTCTTGATATCTTTTTCCCCCTGCAGTTGACTGAATTCACATCTCCTGAATAGGAGGGACATTACAGAAACACAGTCGGTGAACTCGGAGTAGGACTTTCCCCTTGATGAACCCCAGAATACAGGTTACCGTTCCCAGGAGACAAGCGTTTACAGTCAGGGTGTTTCAAGAAGAATTCTCCAAAACAAGCTAGCCAAGACATTTTTGTGATAACAAGTTCCAGAAGCAACTTAAAGCTACCAGAAAGGGCCATGATTCCTGTGGAGATTTCCAGATCCAGTCTTGGGGATCTTCAAGATAAATCTCTCGTGAATGTCCCAACTGCTTGTCTTCATCTGACTTGGGTGTCTGTCAAGGCCGGGCCTTTCCTCAAGCCCGTGTCAACCACCTCTCATTCCCCCTCAGACTAGCCCTTCCAGCTTCACAGCCATTTTCAGCCCACATGGGATTAAAGACCACAGCTTCATGGTGTTCTTGGCACCCCTGATGGCGTTGCCCCCAGTGGTTCCTGTGCCTTGTTTCATCCTGTTGTGAAATTTCTTCTGGCATATTTTTATCAGTCGGTATAAGCTAGGTTACTCTGCAGTAACAAACAACCCTAAAAAAAAATCTCTGATTCATTAGCCAAAAAAACATATCTCTGGTTCATGCAAAGTCCACACTCCTGTTCCAAGAAGCCCTTGAGCAATCCAACACGTGCTTCCATGATAGGCAAGGCAGGCGAAGGGAACCGTGGGTCGAGCATTGGGCAGTTAAATGCTTCTACCCCATAGTGTCAGGTGTCACTCACTTTTCACCGGTTGAGGCAAGTTCCATGGCACCAAGAAACTGGGTCCTGCTGGGCCGTGAGAAGGCCCACGTTTTTCCAGAATCTGTCTTAACTGCTGATTTTCAAGTTGAGTCCTTTGTGATACAACTGTTTCTTTTCTTTCCCTTGCATCCACCCACTTTACCAAACTCTGTTATTGGTTCTCAATACTCCTCACTGGATTTTGCTCCCCGAGAGCAGTGGTGGGAAAGTAACCCAGGTGCCTCCCCAAACTGTCCCCAACAAGAGGAGACAGCGGGTGTCCCCATCACAGGTCAACACCAGCATCGATGGCTGGAAGACCACGAAGTGGAGGGACATCAACGTTGAGCAGATGGACATTGACTGTAAGAAGTTTGCCAAGGACGTGCGGTCCCTGGACAAGGAGATGAAGAGCTGGGACGCCTTCGTGGGGCTGGACAACACCGTGAAGAACATGATCACGTCCCTGCGCGCCGTGAGCGAGCTGCAGAACCCCGCCACCCGCGACCGCCACTGGCAGCAGCTCATGCAGGCCACCCAGGTACTGCACATGGCCGGGAGGAGGGCACGCTACTCGGGCGCTTGCTGCGGGCGGGTGGGCCTGCCGCCCACGAAGCCGGGTGCTCCCCACGCCGTCCCACGGGGCTTCGGGGCGCTGGGTTGAATACTTTGGCGTCGTGAAATTCTTAATTTTTTAACAAAGGGCCCCACAATTTTCATTTTGCACTGGGCTCCACAAGTCATGCAGCCAGTTCTGGTTGTAGGGTGCATGTCCATGGGGCCCAGAAAGTTTGCCATAGATGAATAGCTCCCCGGGCCGACATGCATCCCAGAAGCACAGAATCCTAGCAGCCAAATTTCCCAAATTTTCTGTATACAAAATAGATAAACAACAGATCCTACCGTACAGTAGAGGAAACTGCAGTCAGCACTTCACAACAGCCTGTAACGAAAAAGAATATGAAAAGGAATATATATATACATAAGTATGACTGAATCACTACGCTGTCCCCAGAAATTAGCACAACACGACAAGCCACCTATGCTTCAATTATAAAAAAAATTTTTGAGTCCTCTGCTGAACGATTCCTCTGCAGAGGCTCCACATAGATGCCAGGGATGCGGGGACAGCAAACACGGGCCCTGCTCTCAGGGAAGCGAAGGAAGAGGGAACAGCACGGGCCGTGTTACTGGGAGTGCCGGGCAGGGCGTTCGGAGCTGGTTCCAAAGGCACAGTGGGTGCGGCCCCCGGCCAGGGGAGGAAGGAGCGGAGAGGCTTCAGGGGCACATGGAGTGTGGCTGGGCCCTGGGGGAGAGAAGCACAGACAAGCAGGGTTGTCCTGAGTACCTGAGTGCTGAGACCACGGGCCAGCAGACTCGTGTGCCCCGTCCAGGGGCCGGGAGAGACCCCCGGGGGCGAGCAGTAAGCAGCTAAGGCGTCCCGGGAGTCGGGCACCGCCGAGGACTCAGTGAGACCTGGGGGGCGCGGGTTTTCCCAAACGTGGTAGAGAGACACTGGATGCCACCCATAGGTTAAACCAGTTTCCATGGTGGGCTCGGGACCCAGGCTAGGATGTGTCTGTCTACGTGTCAGCAAGAGGGATCTGAGGACTCCGTGCACGGAGCTGGTGTTGTTACTAGAGTAATGGTACCTGTGACTTGGTGGCACCTGTCACGAGCGCAGCAGCCGCCTGAGGGGGTTGGTTGGGCCCTGCGGCTGCAGCAGCAAAGCCCACGGGCCGGAGGCTTAAAACCACAGAAACGTATTCCTTCTTGGCCCTGGAGGCCAGAAGTCTAAAATCAAGGTGTCGGCAGGGCTGCGGTCCCTCTGACCCAGTCCAGCTTCCAGTGGCCACAGGCGGGCCTTGGCTTTGGGCCACATCCCTCCGGTCCCTGCCTCTGTGGGCACGTGGCCTCTTTGCATTTCAAATCTCCCTTTCCTTTCTCTTCTAAGAACTCCCCGTCATCGGATTTAGGCCCCATGCAGTTGACCCGGGATGATGTCATCTCACGATCCCTAACTGCTGCAGAGGCTCTGGTTCCAAATCGGGTCATGTTCTGAGGTCCAGGCGGACGTGAACTTGTGGTGGGGGGTGGACACTTTTCAACCCACTACAAGAGGGCTCTGCGCTCACACACTTCCACAGGGAGGAGAGGAAAGGCTTGGCGAAGTGACCCGCCCAAGTCACGGAGCCCACCTGCCCCCTCTGCAGCCTGGGCCGCTCGCTCACCTGCCTCTCCGTGAAGGACAGAGGCGTCGCTCCCCTGGAGAACAGGTGACCTGTTGCTGCGGAAGGTGCCTGTTTCTTTCCCCGTAGGTGAAATTTGAAATGTCCGAGGAGACCACCCTGGCGGATTTACTCCGGCTGAACCTACACAGATACGAGGACGAGGTCCGGAACATTGTCGACAAGGCCGTGAAGGAGTCCGGGATGGAGAAGGTAGCCCCTGTTGTCAGCGAAGTCCATTCTGGACGGGGTGATGCTGACTTGGACCCACCAACCCAACGTCCACAAGTCTCTCCTCTCCCCTGGGGTCCAGTGGTCATTTAACATGAAGGCGAAGTTCGGTGAGGCTTTCCTTACCCAGCCTGTGACAGAACGTTTGTGAAATATTTCCAGAATTTATTAGTGGGGGGTGGGCAATTCCTGGCTATAGCCATCTCCTGCACGCAGTCGTGTGTGCATGTGAAACCAGCCTGAACTCCCTTCCCCTTCCACGGAGCATCCTCGATGTGTGGTTTGTGGTCCAGGCTGCCTCTGCCTCTTTCTTCTGAGATGCTGAAGGAGGGAGGCGGGAGGGCTGGCCATCGGCCGGTACCCAGGGCTGCGTCAGGACACAGGGAAACCCTGGAGGACTCCTTTGCAATTCAGATCTCTCTCCTCTCCTGTTTTGTGAGTTTGGTCACATTTTGGCTGAAATTGGCACTTAAAAAAAAAAAGCCTTATTGAGCTATAATTCACATACCATACCATTCACCTATTTAAAGCGTATCATTCAGTGTCTTAGCATATTTACAGATAGGCACCCCATGCCCTGTCAGTCAATTTTAGAACATTTTCATTGCCTCAGAAAGAAACCTGTGCCCTCTAGCCATCACGGCCCCCTCCTATCTTCCCATGCCCCCTACCCCAGCTCTAGGCAACCACTAACCCACTTTCTGTCTCTATCGGTTTACCTGTTCCAGCCGTTTTGTATAAAAGGCAACACAGTATGAGGGCTTCCTTCACTGCGCATGTTTTCAAGTTTCCTTCCTTCTGTAGCACCCTCTGTGCTTCATTCCTTTGTGTGGCCAAATAGCATTCCATTGTACGGACACGTCGTGCTTATCCGCTCACCCGTTCACGGACCCTTGGGCTGCTTCCACCTGTCGGCCCTTATGAATAACGTTGGTGTGAACACTGGGGCTTTCTGAAAGCAGGGCTTCCTTCCACGTTTTAGGAAACCCTGGGTGCTTCTCCGCCCCTCAAGCCAGACGCTGTCTGACCTGAGTTCCGTCCCCCCGAAGGTGCTGAAAGCCCTGGACAGCACCTGGTCCGCCATGGAGTTTGAGCACGAGCCGCACCCGCGGACCGGCACCATGATGCTCAAGTCGGACGAGGTGCTGGTGGAGACGCTGGAGGACAACCAGGTGCAGCTGCAGAACCTGATGACGTCCAAGTACCTGTCCCACTTCCTGCAGGAGGTGACGAGCTGGCAGCAGAAGCTGTCCACGGCGGACTCGGTCATCTCCATCTGGTTCGAGGTGCAGAGAACGTGGAGCCACCTGGAGAGCATCTTCATCGGCTCGGAGGACATCCGCACCCAGCTGCCGGAGGACTCCAGGCGCTTCGACGACATCGACCTGGAGTTCAAGGTGAGCACAGTCCGCTCCCTCCTGCCTGGGCACCTTCAGAAACAGCGACGTTGGAGGCCACAGGGCTCTTCACGCCTCGGGGGTACCTCTCTCTTCCCAGGCCTTGATGGAAGATGCAGTGAAAACGCCCAATGTGATTGAAGCCACCAACAAACCTGGCCTCTACAACAAACTTGAGACCCTGAAGAAGAGGTGGGTCCCCACGCCTGTCCAGCAGAAGGACTTTGCTATGGCAGAAACTCGTGTCTTGTGCCCCCTGCTGGCTAGAATGGGGCAATTCCCCCCGCCCCCGGCCCCATCCTGGGTTAACACGCCCCCTCCTGAGGCACTTGCCCTCCCTGGCCACATCCTGCCACACCAGCCACAGAGCAGGCCTTCAGCCTCAGAGGAGCAACAACCACAGAGATTAAACTACACCCCATCCTCTCTAGGGACACCTGCAAGGTCAGGGGCTGCCAGAGAGCGAGCATGTGGGGCTGGCAGGTTTGAAGCACGCTGGGGCTATGGACAGACTGGGTGTCTCCGGGGCTGTCAGTCCAGCATGCGGGCAGGACGGGCTGGAAAAGACCCTCTGCAGAGCAGGACTCAGCAGCCTCGTCTCCTCCCTCCCCACAGCTTGGCCGTGTGCGAAAAGGCCTTGGCCGAATACTTAGAGACGAAAAGACTGGCTTTCCCAAGGTTCTACTTTGTCTCCTCGGCCGACCTCCTAGACATTCTGTCCAACGGGAATGACCCCGTGGAGGTAGGCGGGCCCCCGACATTCCGAAAACAGGCCGACTTCAGGTGCAAGCTCCAGCCTCCAGGCGGGCCATGCTTGGCCCTGTGTCTGGGTGGCCCTGGGATGTTGTCCGCAGATGTCCCTGTATGACCTCCACGGGGTCGTGTCGTCCACACCAGAAGCCACCCAGGAGCCGTGACAGAAAGACCGGGCCTGGCCTCGGATCCTGCCCTCACCCTCCTGACCCTCATCTTCGTCCTCTGCGAAACGGGGTGGATGCCAGGGGCTTAGGGACACGCTGTTTCGCAATGACACGCCGACTCACGAGGTCGCCACCTGGCCCACCCCAATAAATCCCAGGCGCCGGGAAGAAAAGAAGAGAAGTTCCTCTGAGGCTCCTGTTCTGAAGGAGAGAAGGAGAAACGACTGTGTTTTATTTTAAGCATGAAGTTGCGGACGCACAAGGAGGGGGCTGCAAGGGTGGCCTGCACTTTAGGGTCTGAGTGCGCGACTCAGGGACAGAGCCTCCTCAAGGAGAGAAATCTTCAGGAACTGGGGTTTGTCTCTAGGGTGCTGGCTTCTGGTCCTGCCTGAGAGCAGTGTTTGCTTCTTCCCTTTGTTGCTTAAGCATGTTTAGTTAATGTTAATC